AAGCCTCTTGCAGAAATTCAAGGTAAGACTGCATACAATAGACCCTTGGGCCGACACTTCCTCGGACCCCACGCATAGCGGAAGCTTAGTGCACCGCGCTGCCTTTTATTGTGGCTTCGCCCTAGTTACTACCATATTTTCAGATTATCATGTCAAATTTACCATAAAGAGTTAGCTTATGGAAACATATCAATTGGTCGAACCCTTGATAAAGGAAAGAGATGATGTGTATGAATCACTCACATATTCTTCTGAATTATATGTATCCGCGGGATTAATTTGGAAAACAGTAGGGATATGCAAGAACAAACAATTTTTATCGGAAATATTCCTCTAATGAATTCCCTGGGAACTTCTATAGTCAATGGAATATATAGAATTGTGATCAATCAAATATTGCAAAGTCCTGGTATTTATTACCGATCAGAATTGGACCATAACGAAATTTCGGTCTATACCGGCACCATAATATCGAATTGGGTGTAGAAATAGTATAAAAAAAATTATAAGGTAGACTCTTTTTCCAAATGAGTTTAACTTCTAAATTTATAAGGTACACTATCAAAACAATTAAATGATAATAACATATGACATTTCATAAAAAATAAAATTAGTAACGTACAAATAAGATAAAGATTATTTGCAATAACATGTTAAAATAATATTAATAGTATAAAAACTCTTTATGATGTATACAGAATTAACTCCTTAATTAATGCGTAAAAAGTTGGGAAGCTTCTTTTGAGGTTATTGATAAGAGAAATTTTCATAAAGCACTATCTTTTAGTGGTAATTATCTATAGATACTATTTGCTATATTACGGATTGTAGATATGTTTTATGTTGTTATAAGATGTATTAGATGTATTTAAGTTACTGTATTCATGAATACAATAGCAAAAATAGGCGTGAATCAGGGAAATCCAGCTAATCAGTTGTTGTATTCGAGTGTATTCGACTGTGTTCATGGCGTGAAACATGGGATTACAGCTGGATAGATTATTGTATTCGACTGTATTCACGGCGTGAAACATAGGATTTCACTGTTTTTAAACGGAAAGTGAATCAACTAACATAATAGACTCCTAATATAACTCAACAAATTCAATTATAACACACAAATTTTGTTTTTTCAGTTATAAAAAAGATTCTCAACCGAAAAATACCCCAAAAATATAGCAATCTTCAGAGAAATTACATAATACATCTGAATACATAAATTATATTAATTAAAAAAAAATATATGAATACATTCATGGCATATAGCGAGACAGTGAATAAAATGAAATACATAGGATACAGCGGGATGCATTGAAATGCAATGAAAAAAGACAGTGAATATAATGAAATACATGGAATACAGCGAGATACATTGAATTACAATGAAAAAAAAAGATAATGAATACAATAAAATACAGCGTGATACGTTGAAAATGCATTAAAATATATTAACAGAAAATCAAGTTGCTCAGCCCCAAACTCCGTCGTCTTTGTTCAAGAACAAACCCTAATTTCCGGCGAATCAGCCGTCGAGCAAAAATCCTGAATCTTCAAGTTGCTCAGCCCCAAACTCCGTTGTCTTTATTCAAGAACAACTCCAATGTCGTCTCGTCGAGGGGGCCGCGATTCTGACTCGAAACGACCTCCAAATTTGTTTCCATAGCCAAGGCTTCGCTAAATAGTCCACCTTTATCGGATCCTTGTAGCAAGAAAAGAACTCACAGAGAACACTCATTTGTTGTTGGGCCTCCGTGTAATGTTATCTTTTGTTTCTAATAGCTTCAGATTCATGCTCAACAGAATTAATAAATTGAGCAGTCCTCGTTACCTCCCAATCATTAAAATTCCTTCTGAAGTTTATGCTCCAAACCTCGTTAGCAATTATACAAAGTGTTGAAAGAGAGAGGGTGGAGAAAAATCTGAAAGAATAAAAGAGAAAAATAATACAAAGCGTATTTTATGGCTTAAGGGTAGGAGGTGACCATAAATAGATATATAGCTATAAAAATCAAAAGGTAGCTAAGGAATATAATTTTTTAAAAGGATATTTATTTAAAATAAATAACGTATCAACCTTTACTATAGGAAGTAAAAATTCATTGATATAATATTATTGAAGCCCTAAACCCCGTTTGTAGGGTGGGCTCATGCTCCTAATTGAGACTGAATAATTAAAGGTTATTAATGAATGCTTTGTTACCCTAGTGCCAAACATAACTTTTGTCTGTCTTTGAGGAATGCCTCATTGGGTGTAAATATTAAGATTAATCCACGTGCTAATGTTCACTTCACCTAATTACTAGACTGTTTTAGTAACCAAATTTTGAAAAGAATGTTGGGGTCCCCCTTCGTTATTGTCATCACTTGCCTGTTTATTGATCGTACAAACCTATTTAGAGGATGAGTTGTCCTCTGTTTCTAGGTTTCGACTTATTCCTGCTAGTGTATAACAATCTGGAAATAGAATTTTTTTTTTTTTTTTTATAGAAAGTTTTTTCCTTAAGTTGGCTCCACGTGATGGGATCTTAACTAGTCGAACCAATGAATTCTGAATACCAAATGACTATATCAAAATAAATTGACTCATTGAATCTGTTCCCTCTAAATCACATTACGTGTAAAAAAATAATTATATATTGATCGTGCATATAAGTTAAATTCTATTTGGTTTCCTTTTTCAATCGACTAATACTTGTGAACAATTTAAAATCGTATTGGCCTCTGAAAGCATGAGAAGCCACAAAAAGATAGTCATAGAGTTTAATAGTGCATTAGTTCATACTGAATTTTTGCATTGACTTCATTTCTTTTCTGAGAAAATAATTAGTAACAAGTCCCAAGTGTGTAACTGTAAGTAACAACATTGAGATATTAAAAAAAAAATTGAATTTATTTTAAGGAAAACGTCACTATCTATTTGCCTTGTAAGTGGTAATTATCAGTTAGGCACAAGAACAACTACTGAATAATTATTAAGCTAGCTAGTAATTAATATTTAGCGCTAGTACATGGACAGACATTAGATAAAGTGCATTTCTAATAATGAGGAAAGAAATGTTTTTAATGCTGAATTAAGTAGTAAAGATAAGTATAGTATTTTAACCAAAAAAAAAAAAAAATAGAAGCAGAAACTAAATCTTAATCTTGCTTCATGGGGAATAATCAGCAAAAACTAGTTATTGAAAGGACAAAAAAAGTTGTCATCTCAACTAAAGTATTTGATTTAGCTCCATACTTAAAAAAACATTCATTATACGTAGAAAAAGGTATATACAATCTTTTTCTAATTTTACTTTTCTTGAAACTTGAGGCCAAACATTGCATCGAAAAGTATGGCCTCATGATCAAATAGTGTTGGTAAATAGAGTTATTCAATATCTACGCTGGTTGGAAGTTACATGTACCCATAAAATTAATCGAAATGCGACAAGGTGCCCAGACAATACAATCATGAAAACATTGAAGCAAACATATACCTATCACATTGAGAGAATGAGAGACCCACCAACAAATCAATCAAATAAAAAAAAAATGTAATAACCGTCCAAACGACTCAGTCACCAACATTAATAGTTTGAAGATAATGCTAAAAGGGCCCACTCACTCTTAAACCTATATTTAGATGATGCATCGTGACAAGACACCAAATATTAGTTTCCCATATAACCTATCATCTGCTTTAGCTTATAAACACAACCAAACCATAGATTATTTTATTAATAGTACTAATACAACATGGCCAGTACTTCTCTAACAGCATTTCATTTATAATTTATCTTCTCTTCCTTCCTCCATTATTTTTGTTTGTTTGTTTGTCATCAAGATTAATGGCTGTGAGACACTCTCCTTTGGTTCCTTTCCTAGTTTGGAAATCATCTTCAACAAAAAAGGAAAGGCTTTCACAAAGAATGATGGTGCGTTCATGCAATCACAATTCTTCAATCAAAGCTAGAGATACCAGTAGTCCTCTTCAGATCGGATCACCTTCCAACCAAAAGCTTAAGGTTTTCCTTCTCATCTTTTGTATGCTCTAACTTTTAGAGCCAGAAATTCTAACGAGGGAATTCTATATGCAAAAAAAGAAAGAATTTAATTATTTCGTATTTACTTAGTACTATAAGTTCTGAAGAAGTGGATTCGACTTGACCCCCTTGAGTTCACCTAGCTCCGCCACTGGCTCCAAGTCATATTAGGCGATGGAGTTAACAATTTTTCTAATTAATTCGCTTTGATAGGTATTTGAAGATCGGTCAACAGGCATAGTTTGTTATAGAGACGGGAATGGAGAGATCATTTGTGAAGGATATGATGAAGGTCCTCGTTACTGCCAGCAATTGCCAAGGTTTTCTTCAAATTCAAGGTACGTAACTATAATAATAATAATTGTAATATTTTATGTGTAGTAATGAATGTTTTAGCAATTAAATCCATCTGTGAAAGGATATAAATTACTATTTATTATGACTTGTGGTTGTGTAAAATGTGCAGAGATGAAGAAATCATAGAGCTCCTCCAAAGATGCTGGCTTCATATAGCTGATTCTGCTGAGTTCAATTAGATTCCTGTGAATTCTCAACTCATTCTCATGCTCAATCAGCACTTTCATACTTCTGACAATAACACAATAAAACAGGGATCGTGTTTCAGTGTCGAAGCTTTACCTGTTTCAGTTGTTCTAATAGTATGGTGTATATAAGTCCGAACTTGAGTATAAGAACTAATTTTCCCATTTCACCCCATTGTTTTTGTCTCAATCACCTTTTCTCTCTTATGCTTTTCACCTCACTACTTATTAAACAGAATAATAAACTGGGTTGGGTAAGACTAAGATTTACAAGCTTCAGTTTTGACTTTAAGTATGAGATATGTAATGGCGCTACAATTACTTCTTTAACCATTTGGAACAGAAAAAATTGAAGTCCAGCTTCTAAAAGGTTAATTCATTAACTCTGTTTTCTATTCAACGAATATATAGTCAAAATGGAGAAAACCAACGGGAAGATAGGTAAAAAGATTCACCTTTCAAAATGACAATTACAGAAATTACACAAAGGAAAGAATCGCGATACACTTGAAACTACACCAGCTAAACTGCTCCAAAATCATGCATTGTATAAAATTGCCAATGATCCTTCGGAACTCATGTATACCTTGGATTTTACACCCAAAGAAATTGTACTGAAAAGAAAATGATTTACAAAAATATTTCCACGGAGGGCCACCTAAATTCTATGCAACAGAGACTTTCACTGAAATACAAGCCTCTTCCAAAGTGCTCTGACAAGAAATCATGTGTTCTCCCACTTTAGGGAGAATGCAACTGGAACTGCGTTCCAAAAGAATGGGAATCGAAAATATAGGAGATGTATGAACCTGGGATCCCAATGCAAGAAACCCAATTATGTGCTCAATATACAAACAGATTTACAAATCACCCGGCAGATCATCCACCTTGCATGTTCTCTTCACATAAATCAGTCTGTGATTTACTGGGAATGATAGACGGTGGTGACCATTGATCTGGGACCATGAGAAAATAGGTGGTCATGGCCTTGCGAAACCTCTTTTTGTACTGCTTAGGTGAGATTATAGTGGGCGACTCATTTTTGGGTCCACCCAGGATCCCAGAGGCCTTAACCCATGTCTCCAGGTGCTTATCCCACGTATATTGTCTCATGAAGTCAATAATCCCAAGAACAAGCTCATGCTTCTCTTCATCAACCCCGACCAATAGTGAGTAATCCATCACATCAACTGACTGCAAAGATAATTAACTCAGTTAGTCAAAACCTCACTAATCCTGACCACAGAAGGAATTTGCTAGAAAGTAAACATATATGCCGCTTATAAGAATGCTAACATATATAATAGCATAATGGTCTTCATTTGGATGTCAAAAAAAGTATATATATATATATATATATATTTCTGGAGAAAATCAAAGCAAAATAGGAAAGGAGTAAACTTTCTTGTATGTCTTTATTTGAAAGGGAAGGAGAATTAGCACTTTCCTTCAAGTTCTGCACTTTCTTTTTGCAGGACTGACTTGCTTCGGAGGATATTGTTTCTAGTGGAAAAGATCTCAACCACTTTCATACTTACCAAATGCACACACCCAAAAACGTGGAAATTTTTGACATACTAGCTCTTTCCTTTCCTTTTTTCTTCACACCCTAACTGAGCCTTAGGTGGGACGAAGATGAAGGCCTTTGCGAAAGGCAGACATCTGAATCCTTATTTGGAGGGAAAGCAAAGGTCTAAATAACATCCCCAACTTAATCTTCATGCGTAATAGAAGAGTTTGGAGGGACACTGAACCCCAAATAACCTCTTTGTTCCCGTCATAATCTTATTTATTTAATTATTTAGTTGTCGCAAATGGGGAGGAAGGAATGATAAGGTTGGTTCAGTCTCAACCCCCCCCCCCCCCCAAAAAAAAAAAAACCCACCCAGATTCTGGTTGACCACCAGCCACTAGATCAACTCCTTATGGTTAAGGAAGGTGCTTTTTTCCCCTACCTCTTCCTCCCACACCAAATCCTAGTGCCGTATAAAAACTAACTTGTCCTGAATTGATATTAGAATCAACTGCAGTATGAAACTTTTGATGGACCATGACAGATAGGTAACTGTTACATGATCCAACCACAATAGGTGCATAGTAGTTGACAGTAAATTCACCGAATGTAAGCACAGAACACCACAAACTTACGGCAAGAAAAGCAGTGTCATTCCAGACGGCTCGCTCCAAAAGTCTTTTTGCTTTGTTTCCAACAAAAATAGGTGAAGTTGGCATTGCTTCAATCAAGTTCTGATCCAGCAAGACTTTGTTGCTTCCGCTGGAGTCGGGATTGTAACGAGACCTCGCAGAACCTTTCAGGTCATAAAGCCTCGTCAGGTTCCTCCCAAATAGAAGGTTCTCCATAACAAGCACATCCATTTTGGATTCCTTTCCTCCTTTAAGATGCTTTGACGACACCTTCACACAAACCAAGAAATAAATACACTAAATGGCCTGATAAGAAAATAAATTCCACAATGGGCAATCCTGTGACTAGCCAAAATAGCAGAGAGAAATAATGAAGAACTTGTTATTTTAGTAACCATTTGCAAAACAAAGACTGTTCCCTGAAGCAGCAGATATGCACTCTATGCTTTATGGTCCATTCACCAAAAAGGCCATGTTTTTAATAGGAATCCATATTATCTACCCTATTTCATCTGTCTTTAGAGTTAGTAGCTGATGGTAAAGAAAGTAAATACTAATCTCACACCTCATAAATCAGGAATCTCTATTATCTACCCTATTTCCCCAAAGTAAAACTCATCTTTGCCTCACGAATAAGTTCTAAATTCACTACTTATTTTGTCCAAATAATAATAATCGTAAAAAGAAATCTGTATTCACAGCAATCAGGTCATTGTTAGTGTTGCAAGTTTTGTCACAAAGAGCTTTATAAATCTTAATCTCAAAGTAAGTAGCTGATGATAAAGAAATACTAATCTCACACCTCATAAATCAGGAATCCCTATTATCTACCCTATTTCCCCAAAGTAAAACTCATCTTTGCCTCACGAATAAATTCTAAATTCACTACTTATTTTGTCCAAATAATAATAATCATAAAAAGAAATCTGGATTCACAGCAATCAGGTCATTGTTAGTGTTGCAAGTTTTGTCACAAAGAGCTTTATAAATCTTAATCACAAATTTGGGAAGCTGAAGTAGTCAACTAATAATATACCTGATAGATCCCCACAACTTTTGCCAAGCAAGTTGGACTCCCTGTGCTAATTGATTCAGAAAGATATTTGAAATATTCAGGAGCAAATTTCATAAAAGATTCCAGCTCTGTCTTAGTGACTTGCTTGATAATAAATCGTTCATCTAAAGTTTTAGCAAAGAAAACGTTGCTCTTGCCTCCTTGGGCTCCCCACTTCTTACAGCGGCTAAGAGATCTTATGAACTCCATCTCCGATGGACAACATATCCTCCTCAAGGCTTCAAAACGTTTTGCATAATAACAAGTCACTGTGTACTTCACTTTCCCTACCAATCCATCATCTGCAAAAGAAACTCTAGCATGCAGTGTCTTTGCGTATGAGAGTGGATCCAAATCCAAAGAGCTGCGACTGACGGACAAGGACAAGATACTCTCATCCATAGATCCAAGACTTCTGTAGGATTCTAAAACCATTTCATCAATTGATTGAGTGGACTGCAGATTACCGGAATCCAGTGACTGAATTGAAAAGTTTGAGTCCATAGTAGCATCCTTAGATTTCTCAAGTTCATCGGATAGTTGAGCATGATAATCATGTGATGCTAGTGCATAAGATATAATACTAGTGGGCTCATCATCATACACTGGTATAACAGTATCACTAACCCCAACTGGCAGAAGCAATCTTGCACCACTTCGGGCATCTGAGTCTCGAAATGAAGAAACATATACTGGATTATATCCAACGAGTGGATCCAATTTCTGAGCACTTGGTAAAAAGCTTTTGTTCAGTGTCCTATAGAAGCTAATAAAAGGCATACCTAACCAGCTCCCAGAGTCTTCCACATTGTCAGAGCCTTTAGAGGATAATAGAGGAGGAGATTGAGACATCTTAGTTCCACTCTCTTCATCCCCATGGTCTTCAGTATTTACTTTTTCTGCCACTCCAGTTGTCAAAGTATCCGCCATACCAGCCTTCAGCATTCCAACAGTGGAAGTTGTTTCGCCAGTCCAGGCTGCCTCAAGAGTATCTGACAAGCTCTCCATGTTCGGGAAATGCCCATCGGATAGTGCTCTGCGCCCCTGTAATATGGATTCTGCAGGATGTGTTCCGCAGAAACTTTTTGTTGCAACAGGAAGACCAGGTGGTTTTTCTATTGCACAATTAGCATCAAAACCAACCACCGATTCTTGATGAACAGAATCCACATGACTGTTTTGGCTAACACTTTTTTCTTCATCCGTATTTCCACCAGCCTCGAAATTTGCAGATTCAGAGTTATTAGGATATTTGCTTGAATCGGCGGGATTATCTAGATCAGTGAACTTATCATTACAAATCAACGGTTTCTCAGGTTCCGAAGAGGCCACATCTCCATTAATCCAATGAGTCTTTTCATCCAAACTGGCTGCATATACTAGACGATGGTCCCAAACGTAAGATTGAAAAAGAAGCTGTCTTCTCAATCGATTAATCTCCAAAATATCAACAGACTGCCCCTTTTTCACTTCCTTCATAAGAATTCTCTGGAGGGATTCCTGCTAATATTAAAAACAAATTAGAAATATCTTTTAAAATAACATCGATACTAGGCCCCATGAGAATTTCAGTTTAACTGTTAATTTACCGGTCATTAAGATCATGATACACATATTAAGTTCAACAATCATGCAAATGTTTAACAACAACAGCAAGCAATACATTATTTGATGCGTCAAACCAGTGTTAGTAGACAAATCGACAGCAGAGAAGACAATTTCACCACAGTTTGTCTTCCACAAGCAAGACAAGGTTATAAACCCGCAACCGAACCGACATAGGCAATTCTAAAGAGACCTATTTTTCAGAGAGGTCACTGATAGCTCAACTGAAGAGAAAACAAGTAGAAGACTCAAGTGCAATTTCTAGTAGTAAACATCCAACAAACACAGAGAGGTGGAGGTAGGGAGAGAAAATAAATTAATAATTTCTGCAGGACCAGATAGGCTACACAGTGGTCAATTAGTGATCACCGAACACTATTCACAAGTCCAATTGACTGATCCATACCTCAAATTCTTCTTTCTCCTTCTGCAACATCCCTTCCAAATCAGCAATCTGACGTCTGTTAAGTTGTCTCCCAGATCTTTTCTCCACCAAAACCCGAATCGCATTCAGAACATCAGAAAACAAAAGTTCAGCTCGACCAATGACCTGCTTATATTAAACCATTAAGTCAGTACAGGATGAGATCAGATCGCAGCTACTAAAAATCCAAAGCCACATTCTTCGCACCTCATTAACTTCTTGTTGTATCCATTCCTGATTCTCATAGTAGAAATCCAGTTTTGAGGGAGGAAGGTATACTGAGTGAACATCAATGGATGCATAGCGAAAGCAAGCAACCATCTTCCCAAAGCTGCAAAAGTTCCAAAATGAATATTGCAAAACATACTCAACTACTTAAGGCATTAATGTTTTCCTGTCAGATCCCACTGAATACATATATATTATCATCATAGCTAGGTCAAACATGATTTGACTATTAACACCAGAAAATCATGCCAACATATTAAATATTATGCATGACCAAGAAGGACGGCAGATGATTGCAACACTCCTGATGTGAAGTGCTTCATACTACCAAGAGAGTAAGACCATACCCGTAAAAGCGAAGACAATCTCTATGTAATGAATGACCACAGCTTGCCACCCTACTTGCAGCTGCATGGTTTGAAAAACTAAGTTCTAGAAACTTCCCAAAGGACAAGCCCCAAGCAGCATCAGACATCACTACTCTTCGAGTTGCTGGAGGAAAGCCCTTATTATCCCGTGGACATCTAAGGCACCTGTGCCACATCCATATTTTCCCTTCCTTTTCACCAGGCAAAAGAATTTCCATCAGCTTTTTAACAGAAATAGTTAGAGTACCCTGTCGGTGAGTATAACACTGAACATGCGCTTCTGAAGGCATCTCACATGAACGGCACCTGTAACTCTGAGAATACATATTGAAGAGAAAAAAATTAGTGAAGATCCTTTCAGTCACCTTAAGCATATCAGTAATGTTACAACATAAGGAAAGGGAGGGGAGAAATTACGTGATCAAACAAATGGTCTCGTAGAAAACGACCCAACGGCTTATCAAAGTTCCCATAGTATTTAATCCGAAAGAGATGAGACCTTTCACAGACAGTTCCCTTCCAAACACACCGGGATGATAAGGAAACTAAAATGCTTTGATTGTCAGATGGAGACGGCGGAAACTCTTCCTTTGAAGACTTCAGTTCATCAGGACCATTTTTCCCATCTAGTTGCGAACCACTTTGGTTCACATCCATAGCATTGAAATCATTTTGAACATTCTGTGACAACATGTCTTGTTCAACTTCCTGTGAAGGATCAAAACCAGTAGAAAGGAACTTGTATCCTTGGGTATCTTGGACATCGTTGACTACTGATGCCTTTGCCCGAGAACACTCCATCATATCCATAATACCTCTGTGAGACTCACTATAAAGAAAGGGCTTGCAGAAGGAAGAAAGTGTGCTTTTAGTGGTACAGAAGCCTGGAAACTCTGAGACACACATTTTCTGAGCACAAATGCTGGCAGCCTTGACCAAGTCTGCTGCCGGAACACTCTTTGACCTTTGTGGCTCGCTACCAGATAGCGGCCCTTGAGTTTTTTCAATGGCAGGAATCGTAAAACCAGGAATAGTTGAGATGGACCTGTCGAATGTTGATGGTTTATCTGGCAGTGCAACTGTTATCGGAGAATTCAAAGGAAGTTCAGGAAGAGAGGCTCCTTCATCAGCAAGAAAGGATGTTTCTAAAGCCAAATGATAAGCAGCGAAAATAGAATATTGAACCACACGTTTCACTTTCTTCAACTCATCCCCATTTGCACCACGGAGTAATACCTGAGACATGGTCATTTTAAAAAAGTAGGTTTCACGTAACTGTTTAGATCATAGCAAGTCAATATATACTTCTACCTATGTTCTTATTGTTCTTGTAAATTATAAGAAACTTACGGTGCATCCCAGTGGCTTTGGACAGCCTTCAAAGTACATCAGCGTCTTTACCAGTTTCTTTCCACTCTCTCCAGCTGTACCATGTTCTTCTAGAAACTTCTCAACGTGAAACATGTCACAGTATCCTAACTTTTGAGATGAAATTTGGTCTATTGAAGGTACTATTTGACCACCAGTGCAGCGAGCTATACGCTCCAGAACTGGCTTTTTGATATTTAGGACAAGTGATATGTCTTTTTCCAAGAGGTACTCTTGTGCATAGCGAGAAACAGATTTTTCCACCAGAAGGACATCTGGATTGTGTGCATCAATTTTAGCAACAGCCATCTTCAGATGATCCATTTCCTGAACAGCAATAAATATCTATAAGCACAAGAGCTTAACACTATTCTGTACAAGTCTTGGAAGAAAAGGCAAAATCTTCAAAACCTGCTGCAACAATGTATCGAAACTTGATAAGAGGTTGGAGACTCGTTGGTACTCAAGAGCGCCTTCAAGGATTAATATGCGGGGTTTCTCTATTTTTGATGTCATTCGCCGATGAGCCACATTTTTCTTGCAGACAACCCCTTTCACCACAGCACTATTTAAGGGAAATGTGGTCAGTTGAGAGAAGAAATGTCTAAAAATGTATGCAACAACAAAATGAAGTGAAGGGCAGACATAACAAAAGAAGAAGAACCAAACATCGCCGCAAGCAAGCAAAAGCTGCTATAAGACAAGTTAATCATAGGAAAAAACCAAACTCGATTTTGAGTTTGACAGCTTCTTTATTCGTTGTAATGCTACAACCAGTTCATCGAATATTGGTTGAGGGCAAACAATTGAAAGTTTTAATGAGGAAAAGCAAAAGTATCACAAGATAAAAAGAAACATACGGAGACACAAATGGCTCCCACACAGAGAGGGAGTGAGGGAGGGACGGGGGGAACAGGCGGACAAGGGGAAACAGACAGATATTGAGAGACTGTGCATGCAGATACATGACCCCCAAAAAAAGCTCCTACTCTCCAGTTTCAGACATTGTTGCTGCTAATGTTAGCTTCAATGTAACATTTGAGGCAAGAATTGAACAAAGAGCTGAGAAACATGGTGGACCAAAATGAAAAACTTTACTTGTTCACCTGTCACTACGACGCCCAGATGCAACACACTTCACCTTTACATATCCCCCAGGGTCCATTCCCCCACCTTTGCTTGTATCTGGCTTCAAATGTGTGGCAGCTTCCCATGATAGGGATGTAACAATCTCCAACCAACTCTCTTTGTCATCTTCCTCACCAATGGCAAGTTTTTCAACCTGCATAAGCTGGGATACTAAAGCCCTGAAGTGGCCATCAACAACATTCTTGACTGCTTTCTTTTGCCCTTCAGTCGATCTGTCCCTACCTCTATACTCACCACTTCCAAAACTGCTTGATGTATGCAGATATCCCCACTCTCCTGCAGTGTCTCCATCATCATCATCATCAAACAACAGTCCGTCCCGTTCATCTTCTTCGTCTTCTGGTTCAGGTGGGAGCCACAGAATTCCACTGCTTTCAAAATCAACAGGTTCCAGATTAACATCTTGCGCAGCATATAGGGATGATGAAGTTTCACATTCATCACTAATATCCTGTTTTACTGTCTGCAGCACTTCTTCAGAAGCTTGGGAATCAAAATTGTTCTGCAAGGACAAGCTGTTCACACATTTTTCATCAACAGCTTCCCCATTAAGATGAACTTTACGTGATCCACAGTCCTTATCAATGTCATCATAGTGAACATGACCATAGTAGCCATTAGTCTGAGGATAAAACTTTCCTTGGGAATTTAACTGGTAAACACCATACTCATCATCTTCATCATCACTCCTGATTCCAGAATATAACAAGAAACAGTTAACTGAAGTGAAATACTTGTACGACCACAAGTAGCAAGAAAGGCAGTCAAATAGAGCAAATCAAACTTTAAAAATCAAAACATTCTCAACTAGACAAGTGGAGCTGGAATTGATTTTACAAAAAGCAAACCTTTTATACCGCAGACACTATGAGGGAAAAGCATTATTCTCAATCAAACCCAGCAGTAGTCTATCACTATAAAAGTGGAGCTGGGTTTCCTATTTCAGGTCTGGACTCATGAGCTCAGACAATTCGAGGAACGAAAGAATAACCATGGAAGTGAAAAGAGACTAATTCTCCTTTCCTTCTCTATTCGGCCAATTCTTTATTAGGGTCGTTGGAGATTGGTCAGGTACTATCACTGGATAAATATCTTGCAAGTTGCATTTAAGCATACATCAGATTTCCTCTGACTAGTCGCTGCTCGGTAATCCAAGGGCTTGCAGTTGCAATGACAAATATATGCCTCCATAAGGCCCTTGACCAGGAAACAAACTTCAGCATGTAGCTTTTTCACAAAATTGCTTCTGCCATTAGTTGTTGGAGATTTTCCGCCTAAAGTGCATGATATTTCTACTTTTCTTTTCCATTACTTTAGAAGGGAAAAAGTTTCAATTATGGTTTAATTAATGTAACTTTTGGCATCGAGGAAAATCATAGACCAAGTCCGACAGAGAGGGCCAAGCTTGAGGGTGATCACAAATATCGCTAATAGGGCCAACCTACCTGATTCACTATCTAGTACTCAAAAAGATGCCTACACCGTTAGGGCAATTTACCCATTTACATTTGAAAACAAAGAAATAACAAATATTGCAACTTCCAAATGTGACAAGTCAGTAAAGATGTAAGAGAAGAACCTTGTTGTGCAAAATGAAAATTGGTTTGTGGACAGATCCCGGACCCCTGTATCAACAGGATCACTGCTCCCTTTTGCTGTAGCAACACTTAGCCTCTCCAAAGAAGATTCCATTACTGCTGCTTGGCGTGGACTAAGCACAGAAGAATGTGGCACTGAAGTAATGGTAATGCTACTACTGTCACCAGTTCCACTAGATTTGATGCTGATAAAACTAGTTGCGGAAAGGAAAGTACTGGAATCCAGGTTGCGAATAGCATGATTAAAACCTTGCTCCCATTGCTTGAAGCAGAAATGACAGACCCTGACCTTTTCACACTCCTCTTGTACTGACCTTGGCTCACGGGGTGGTGCAGGAACGGAGTTAGATGTGCACTTGGCACAGAATACACGTCCACAAAGTCGACAGTGATGCCTACGGTTAAACAATGTGAACAAAGAATCACACTCATAACACACCCTACAGCTGTGGTCGGGCATCCAAAAATCCCTCGACACGTTAGCAGAAGACTCCCGCTGAGGGATCCACGATTTCAGCAGCCCCACCAGATCAAGGAATGTCCTATCCATCGACAAAACAGACCTTCTGCGCCTCTCATTTCTATAATCTCAGTCTCTAACAAAGCTCATATCCAATTCCTGATCCCAAAAATCCCTTAAAATATTGACTCTGATCCAAAATCCCTTAACAAGTTGACCACACAAGGTCTTCACTGATTAAAGGAAAATCCTTGATCTCTCACCAATCAATAGCAGGCTAATTCGAATTACATCAACAGCCCATTAACATGCAACAGAAACCCTAAATCAGGAGTTATCCGATTTAATAAAACCTGAAAATGAGTCTCCACCCAAAAATTCCAAATTAGGAATCCAAAATATTTAGATAAGCAAACCTTTTATTGAAGCGCAGACAATATACGAGGAGGAGAAGAACACGCTATTCTCAATAGAACCCAACTGTCGTCAAATCACTCCAACGCGGAATCCATAAAAACGCCAATCGATAAAGAAACCCCATTATTTGTCTCTCCGCGATTAAACAATTCTCCCCTGAAACACATGAATAAAATAATTATGCTTGTACAATAAAATACATCTCATTAATTAGCGCCATCACGTTATATAATAAAAAAATATTATTAAGTAAATTACAGAATTGAGTTAACTGGGAGGAAAAGGACTTGAAGATAATAGAGCCGCCATGAGTTTACCTTTTTACGCCTATCAATCAATCAGCAAAAACAGATCAGCAGATGAGGACAAAAATTGCAGAGAACGGAACGGAACTGACTTCAATTCACTGCGCTGTGTTTATGTAATTGGGGGGATTGTGTGTGACGGGCACACAAGCTTGTTATCCAGTTGGCAATGATAAAAAAAATGATTATATTACGTCACTCAAATCTCTTTTTTTCTTTTTCCTTTTTCACCTTTTTGGCTTTTCCCTCTGCAAGTAGTAGTAGAAAAAAAGGAGTAATCTTTTTCGGAAAAGAAAAAGGATACTGGGAAAATAACCTTTGGGCTGAAAAAGTCAAACTTCACTACAGAATCTTACCCTTCCTTTTTCCTTCTTCTGTACAGGAAAGTAATCAATTGTACGACTTAACAATTTTAAATTTAAAAAAATGACAAATCTCTTATACGTAAAAGTAAATTTTACATCTTTAAAAAAAATTATAAAACTAAAAATACGTATTTAAAGGGCCACAAAATCAATTAACCTGCTAGTAACAGCAAGGTAAAAACTTATTATCAAATTTATATTAATTTATCATGATTAAATAATTTAATAAAAAAAAAATTATGTAATATTAATTGTTATTATTTTTATCTATTTTCTGGTTCTTATGTTGTTGTTATTATTTTTATGTTTGTTGTTAATGGTAGTGTGTATTTGTCTCTTTTCGTTTTCTTGAGCCGAGGGTCCTTTGAAGGTCTGCGTACTCACTATCCTTCCCAGACCGCACTTGTGAGATTTCACTAGGTTATGTTATTGTTATAATATTAATTACGATCAACGAAAAAAAATATATATATAAACATATATTATGTATATATAAGTGTGGTGTAAATCTTCCATGCGAGCATAATGGTGGACAAATAATTATAATTCAAACTCTCCACCTCCTCTATTAAATCTCTTTACAAAATGAAAAGGAAACAAAATACTAACTTTTTTCTAAAAGTAAAATTATGCGTGCTAGCAAATATATAATGTGACGCTGTATGTCAAACCGAATCAAAGTTGACTTTATTTTATGACTTAAAAAAAAAGAGAAAGTAAAGCAAATATTAGTGTGTAGTTTACTTAACTAATTTCCTACTTTGGTAGAAGCAAAAGTAATATTAGCAGCACAAATACTGCGACTATTTAAAATACTACGGTATCTTTTAATTGTGTGAGCTTCTGTTAGTTTTCTTAGCATAGTATGACATTCACATTAGCGACTGCCAATTAACGTATCCTCGTTCCACCTTATTGGGTTAACCGCGTATCATTTTGCTTGTTTACTCACCACACAAGCAATTCGGTTGTCGTGCTTAGCTTTACAGCTGCATGCAAACAATAATATATTAACCGTTTGATTTGAAGACAAGTTATGCTAGGATTAATTATATTTCTTATGACTGTTTGATATGTTGTATTGATTAATTAGTGCCATGCATTTATTGGTGTGAAGTATGAACACCCAATACAAATTTACTACTTGCAATTGCAAATTTTGATTTGATTTTGTGGGAAGGCCTTTATGAGATTAAGATCATAGACAAAAAGTTTTTAAAATCTGGGGGGGGGGGGGGGGGGAGAGATAATTAATCTAGTATTTAGATTAAATGACAGTAAAAAGATGTAAATTCGATCGATTTAATTATTCCTGAAGTCAGATCGTGTGCATTAACGACTGAAGAATTTCTCTAAAAATTGTTGTACTTGAATAAAAAGATCCTGTGATATCAATACTTTATATGATCAATGTGTAAAACTTACAACCAATACTTTTTGGAGCAGAAGAATATGATCTTATTTCACGAGGAGTATTATATACACCTCTAATTTGTTTTACACGCGTCCAAAAAGAAAACCCCAAAATCCTTAGTTGCTTCTCTGTCTTTTCAAACATGTGGTCGCGGTCCTACTGATGCTTTCATCTTAGGGTAATGCTGATTTTTCTCTAATTCAAATATTTTTTTGGAGCTGAAGAATGTGATCTTTTTCCAAAATGAGTATTATATGCACTTGTTTACCCTTAAAATTGGATAACAGTTAAACTTATAATGCGGTTTTAAGGACACGTGTTTTCATCTAATACCAATTGATAAATGTAAAGATTAGTGATAGAAATTAACAATAAAGTGAAGCAAACCAGTGTTGAGACGGAAATCAACCCTCGAGTTAGAATGCCCTCAAACTAATTGATACCAGAACAAGTAAAAATAATACAAGCTGATGAACAAGAGAATATAAACTAAAAGAGTATTATATTGCTTTGATATGCGAGAATCCAAGTGCCTTACAAATGATTGGAACTCCTCTTTATATAGTAGAGAAATTCTAATTGTGGTATAACTCTAATTACGGAAGGAAATCCCATAATTAACTAATTAACCGTCCTTGATTTGATCCGTTCAGAGATTTTCGCCATGATCTTCGACCAGTCACGGATATCTCGCCTTTATGTTATTATGCTATCTTCGAACTTGCTCGATGTCTGTCTTATATGGTCTCAATCACTACCGGCCTCGATCTTGATAGGTACCTCGAATCTCAAACTCAGTAGCTTGTCCTCGTGCCTCGGTATGATCTATCACGGGACCGATCTTCCATCCTTCACACTGGTCTCCGTAAATCAGTAAAATCGGGTGGGCCTGATTTTAATCGTATACAGTTAGTCCCCTCGTTTTTTGGAGTGTAATGACAAGAAACGAATTGAGCCTTCGACCCTCGACTTGTCATGAAGTCATTCCCGTAACGTAAGCGGCATATGTGAGGGAAACGTCCCGTTGGTGCAGTTATCCAGGCATTTAATGCGTGCCAGTTGATGTTCGGCCACTAGTGGTTTCGAACCGTCGTCGTGAAACCCATAAATAGGCCCTTTTCTCATTGATTCAAACTTTACTTTCAATTTCTTCTAATCTCCAAAGCTTTTACCTTTTAAGTTTTTCCGTTCTGCAAAATCTTCAGGTTTTGTTGTCAACCCTCTCTCAAAACACCAAGTCTTATTTTCTTTTTCTTTCTTCAAACTCAAACCCAAAATGGCGAAAACGTCAAAAACTGTGCCGCAGAAAGAAATTTCCTCTTCATCAAAGTCCGCCGGCACCGCCATCGCGGAGGAACATCCTCTTGCGAACTTCGTTCTGACGAAGTGTGCCACTACTGCTGATTTCAAGGTGGAGAACACACCCCCGACACTGAGCCGATTTGAACCCATGTCGAGGTATATGTGTACGATTATCGAACGCCTCCTCGAGAAGGTGAAAGAGGAGTGCAACTGGGTAGGCAAGGACATCGTAGTGCCTAGTCCCGAAGAATCCATCACTACTTACAAGGAGGGCTATCTGACTGTCTACACCTACCCCTTCACAATAAGTCCCTTGGACCCTATCATCGTTGCCTTTTGTAAGAGGTAGGGTGTCACTCTGGGCCAAATCCACCCATCGATTTGGAGGATCGTGCTCCTCCTCCGATTCTTTGTTAGTAAGATCGAGGGGCATCCTTTTACCCTCGATCACCTCATGCGCCTCTACGGCCCTTGGCTTTATCGGGGAGGCATGATCAAACTTTACTGCCGAGCCACCAAGCCCCCGCTCTCAAGCATAGATGAGGCTCAAGACCGAGGTTGGATGGGCAGGTTTGTCCGAATAGGACTGCGGATCTAATCCTCGCCGGAGATATGTCGTTCCCTAAAAGGCAGAACATGAAATGTAAGCATTGTTTGGCCTTTCGTGTACCTATTATGCCGTTCCGCTTTGTTTTTCCCCTCATCTAAGTTTTTGTGTTGCAGCTAAGGCCATTATGCTGGAAATGATCCCGACCTGAGGCAATGGGTCGAGGGATTGGTGTCACAAAAGTTCGAGTGTGCTTGAATGGAGTTGTCAAGGGGCCGATGGGAGGCTCGAAACCATGGTAATCTTTTTTCCTTGGCAAGGTTTCCATTCAGACTTTGTTATTTGTACTTACTCATCTTTTCCATATTGTAAGCCTTGGGAATGACGTGCCAATGAGGCCCCCCTCTGCTGAAGAAAAGGCACTCCTTTCCCAGTCTGCCCCGAAGCAGGCAAAAGAGAAGAAAAGGAAAGAGGCTTCGAGTTCCTCAAGCCCGGAGAAGAAAAGGCTGGCTAGGAGGCCCTGTAAGCCTAAGGGGGGCTTTATCCACGTAACTCTAGAGTTTGTCCACTAGCTATCGGATGAGACCGAAGATGAGGATGAAGAAGAAAATTTGGATTGGTAACTCGTGTGCGGTCTAACATCGAGGTTCAAAAAACCACTGGACAGGCGGGAGCCGAAGCTGCTTCGCCCCGATCTGATGAGCCCGAGCCAATAGATGCTTCACCTCGAGATGGGGAGGCCATCGAGGAGGCGGTCGAGTCTAGGGTAGAAACCGAGCTCGAGGCTCCCCGAAACGAAGATGATGTCTCTACAGACCCACTTGGGGCAATAGTGATTGGGGACTCCTCCTCGCTCCCTCCAGTTCCAGATTCGATGATACGCAACACTCAGGCTGCAGAGACTTGTCACAGAGAGGGGTCCCACGGAGGGGAAGATCATTTTCGTGGCTATTTTGCTGATGCGGAAGATATCATCGGTTTGGGTGATTTGGACATACCAAGGAAGAGCTCGAATGAGGCTTCCTCGAGCTATACACTTACTAACTAATTTTCGGCTCCCAACGTTGACCCCGATTGAAAGTGGCCTCTTATCATCTCGATCCCGGAAGATACACAAGTTTTATTTGCCCCCGTAGGGGTGGAAAGTTACCTTCGATGCTTGGTCACTGAGGAGGATCAAGCCAAAATGAATGCAGTGGATGTTGCCTGCTTGTTCAACGAGGCCCAGCATGCTCTAAATCGGGTAAGTTCAAGGACCATTTTCTTTTCTTGACTTTTGACTTGTGGATATCTCTAATATTTCTTCCTTTCTTGCAGGCTTCGGTGTTGCACAACGAGGCCTTTCTTCGAGCCCGAGAGGAACGCAAGGTTGAGGTCCAGGGTCTCACTGAGAAGTGCAACACTTACAAGATTCTTAGTGAGAAGCTTCAGGTGGACCTGGTGGAGACTCGAAACGCGCATGAAAAGATGGCCGAGCAGGTATTCCGAATTCTTCATGATAGTAAGGATGAGTCAAAGATAAT